AGGTCTGTGTATCTCTCTCCCATCATCACGATGCCCAGGAGATGTTAACTACCTCGCATGGTCTACAGGAGGTCTGTGTATCTCTCTCTCATCATCACGATGCCCAGGAGATGTTAACTACCTCGCCTGGTCTACAGGAAGTCTGTGTATCTCTCTCCCATCATCACGGTGCCCAGGAGATGTTAACTACCTCGCATGGTCTACAGGAGGTCTGTGTATCTCTCTCCCATCATCACGGTGCCCAGGAGATGTTAACTACCTCGAATGGTTTACAGGAGGTCTGTGTATCTCTCTCTCATCATCACGGTGCCTAGGAGATGTTAACTACCTCGCCTGGTATGCAGGAGGTCTGTGTATCTCTCTCCCATCATCACGGTGCCTAGGAGATGTTAACTACCTCGCATGGTCTACAGGAGGTCTGTGTATCTCTCTCTCATCATCACGATGCCCAGGAGATGTTAACTACCTCGCCTGGTCTACAGGAGGTCTGTGTATCTCTCTCCCATCATCACGGTGCCCAGGAGATGTTAACTACCTCGCCTGGTCTACAGGAGGTCTGTGTATCTCTCTCCCATCATCACGGTGCCCAGGAAATGTTAACTACCTCGCCTGGTCTACAGGAGGTCTGTGTATCTCTCTCTCATCATCACGATGCCCAGGAGATGTTAACTACCTCGCATGGTCTACAGGAGGTCTGTGCATCTCTCTCCCATCATCACGGTGCCCAGGAAATGTTAACTACCTCGCCTGGTCTACAGGAGGTTTGTGTATCTCTCTCTCATTATCACGGTGGCTAGGAGATGTTAACTACCTCGCCTGGTATACAGGAGGGCGTGGGTTCGATCCCGACCCTGACGCCTGCTGCTGTATATTTGGAGTTTGCGTCTCTCTCTCTCTCATCATCATCACGGTGGCTAGGAGATGTTAACTACCTCGCCTGGTCTACAGGAGGGCGTGGGTTCGATCCCGACCCTGACGCCTGCTGCTGCTGTATTTTTGGAGTTTGCGTGTCTCTCAATCTCCCCGGTTTTCCCCTCCACATGTGGAATCAACGTCTCTCTCTTCACCCCTCCTACTCTCCCTCCACTCTCCCCCCACGTTTCATCTGCCTTCATTTACTCTCTCCGCTTAACCCCCCTGTTGGGATTCTTCTCCGAGTCCTCCGTTTTTCCCCTCCACATTCATAATCAACGTCACGAGTTCATAACAGTTGGCTGCGGCTTATAAATTGCAACCTGATGACGATGTTGATGATAATGATGTTGATGACGATGTTGACGATGTTGATGACGATGTTGATGATGATGTTGATGACGATGTTGATGATGATGTTGATGACGATGATGACGATGACGATGTTGATGACGATGATGTTGACGATGATGATGATGTTGATGACGATATTGATGACGATATTGATGACGATGTTGATGACGATGTTGATGATGACGATGATGTTGATGATGACGATGTTGATGACGATGTTGATGACGATGTTGATGATGACGATGATGATGATCTCACTTCGTTGAGCGATGATTTGTGATTGACAGGTCGCTTCTGAAAAAGAGCTGCGTAGCAGCTAAGTGGGGTCTGGTAAAATTTGATTAAATTTACTTTAAAAAAGAATATATAGTTTAATAGTTTCGTTTGTCGCGAACGAGAGTTGCACGCGCGCATTTATTTACTTATTTTACATTCGCCCCAATTTAACCAATCGCCTGGCGGTGCTGAGCAGTGGTTTGCAAACATTGTTAACAATAAAGTCAACACGTTCCGTGTCAACAACAACACTCACCACGTGTGTGTGTGTGGCCCGTGAAGTAAACACGTGTATCGTAGCGGAATGTACGTGCTATGAAGAAGGGCCATTGCACGGAACGTCGGCCTATTATACAGTGAGGGAAAAAAAGTATTTGATCCCCTGCTGATTTTGTACGTTTGCCCACTGACAAAGAAATGATCAGTCTATAATTTTAATGGTAGGTTTATTTGAACAGTGAGAGACGGAATAACAACAACAAAATCCAGAAAAATGCATGTAAAAAATGTTATAAATTGATTTGCATTTTAATGAGGGAAATAAGTATTTGACCCCTCTGAAAAACATGACTTGGTACTTGGTGGCAAAACCCTTGTTGGCAATCACAGAAGTCAGACGTTTCTTGTAGTTGACCACCAGGTTTGCACACATCTCAGGAGGGATTTTGTCCCACTCCTCTCTGCAGATCTTCTCCAAGTCATTAAGGTTTCGAGGCTGACGTTTGACAACTCGAACCTTCAGCTCCCTCCACAGATTTTCTTTGGGATTAAGGTCTGGAGACTGGCTAGGCCACTCCAGGACCTTAATGTGCTTCTTCTTGAGCCACTCCTTTTGTTGACTTGGCCGTGTGTTTTTTGGTCATTGTCATGCTGGAATACCCATCCACGACCCATTTTCAATGCCCTGGCTGAGGGAAAGAGGTTCTCACCCAAGATTTGACGGTACATGGCCCCGTCCATCGTCCCTTTGATGCGGTGAAGTTGTCCTGTCCCCTTAGCAGAAAAAACACCCCCAAAGCATAATGTTTCCACCTCCATGCTTGACGGTGGGGATGGTGTTCTTGGGGTCATAGGCAGCATTCCTCCTCCTCCAAACACGGCGAGTTGAGTTGATGCCAAAGAGCTCCATTTTGGTCTCATCTGACCACAACACATTCACCCAGTTGTCCTCTGAATCATTCAGATGTTCATTGGCAAACTTCAGACGGGCATGTATATGTGCTTTCTTGAGCAGGGGGACCTTGCGGGCGCTGCAGGATTTCAGTCCTTCACGGCATAGTGTGTTACCAATTGTTTTCTTGGTGACTATGGTCCAAGCTGCCTTGAGATCATTGACAAGATCCTCCCGTGTAGTTCTGGGCTGATTCCTCACCGTTCTCATGATCATTGCAACTCCACGAGGTGAGATCTTGCATGGAGCCCCAGGCCGAGGGAGATTGGCAGTTCTTTTGTGTTTCTTCCATTTGCGAATAATCACACCAACTGTTGTCACCTTCTCGCCAAGCTGCTTGGCAATGGTCTTGTAGCCCATTCCTGCCTTGTGTAGGTATATAATCTTGTCCCTGACATCCTTGGAGAGCTCTTTGGTCTTGGCCATGGTGGAGAGTTTGAAATCTGATTGATTGATTGCTTCTGTGGACAGGTGTCTTTTATACAAGTAACAAGCTGATATTAGGAGCACTCCCTTTAAGAGTGTGCTCCTAATCTCAGCTCGTTACCTGTATAAAAGACACCTGGGAGCCAGAAATCGTTCTGATTGAGAGGGGGTCAAATACTTATTTCCCTCATTAAAATGCAAATCAATTTATAAAAAAAAATTACATGCGTTTTTCTGGATTTTTTTGTTATTCTGTCTCTCACTGTTCAAATAAACCTACCATTAAAATTATAGACCGATCATTTCTTTGTCAGTGGGCAAACGTACAAAATCAGCAGGGGATCACATATTTTTTTCCCTCACTGTATACGTTTGATGTTGAGGCCACACACAGAGTGTTGAGTTGAGTTTTTATTTTATGCTATGCATAAGTAGAGTGGAAATCCTTCTAACAGAAGTTCACTGATGGGGGTAGGCGAGATGGTGAGTGGAGAGATAGTGAGTGGAGAGATGGTGAGTGGAGAGATGGTGAGCGGAGAGATGGTGAGTGGAGAGAGATGGTGAGCGGAGAGAGATGGTGAGTAGAGAGACGGTGAGTAGAGAGATGGTGAGCGGAGAGAGATAGTGAGTGGAGAGAGATGGTGAGTGGAGAGAGATGGTGAGTGGAGAGAGATGGTGAGTGGAGAGAGATGGTGAGTGGAGAGATCGTGAGCGGAGAGAGATGGTGAGCGGAGAGAGATGGTGAGCGGAGAGAGATGGTGAGCGGAGAGAGATGGTGAGCGGAGAGAGATGGTGAGCGGAGAGAGATGGCGAGTGGAGAGATCGTGAGCGGGGAGAGATGGTGAGCGGGGAGAGATGGTGAGCGGGGAGAGATGGTGAGCGGGGAGAGATGATGAGCGGGGAGAGATGGTGAGCGGGGAGAGATGGTGAGCGGGGAGAGATGGTGAGCGGAGAGAGATGGTGAGCGGAGAGAGATGGTGAGTGGAGAGATGGTGAGTGGAGAGATGGTGAGTGGAGAGAGATGGTGAGTGGAGAGAGAGATGGTGAGTGGAGAGAGATGGTGAGTGGCGAGAGATGGTGAGTGGAGAGATGGTGAGTGGAGAGAGATGGTGAGTAGAGAGATGGTGAGTAGAGAGATGGTGGGTGGAGAGAGATGGTGAGTGGAGAGAGATGGTGAGTGGAGAGAGATGGTGAGTGGAGAGAGATGGTGAGTGGAGAGAGATGGTGAGTAGAGAGATGGTGAGTGGAGAGAGATGGTGAGTAGAGGGATGGTGAGTAGAGAGATGGTGAGTGGAGAGAGATGGTTAGTGGAGAGAGAGGCAAGGAGAGAGGCCAGGGGAGAGTAGAGGAAGGGAGGTGGGAGAGAGAGAGGAGAGGAGAGGCCGGCAGAGAGAGGTGGGGATGCGGAGAGGGAAGAGAAAGATCGTGAATGAGGCGGATGGAGGTGAGGGCTGTGAGGTAGAAGACAGGAAATGGAGAGATAAGAAGGGAGCCGTGAAAGGAGAGGGAGAGGCACGGGGAGCAGAGAGGAGAGATAAAGATTGAGGCAATGTCTACTACCGTATTAACCCCAGGGTAGCCGCTCAGATCCACACACCGCATTGCCGTATTCACCCCAGCGTAGCCCATCCGATCCCCACACAGCACTACCGTATTCACCCCAGCGTAGCCCCTCCAATCCCCACACCGCATTACCGTATTCACCCCAGCGTAGCCCCTCCAATCCCCACACCGCATTACCGTATTCACCCCAGTGTAGCCCCTCAGATGCCCACACCGCATTACCGTATTCACCCCAGTGTATCTCCTACGTGTAAACTAATATACATTTTTTTACCGTATTCTCCGTATCGCGAGCTACCTTTGTAATGCGCCTCCAGCTGTGACTGCGAGTTCACCGCCACCTTGCAGAGGGCGCAGTACAGCAGTCGCTTGGCCTTCTCTTCCTCGCTCTCCGCCTTGGGGACCCCCGCCGCGGGGCTCCCCAAGGTGGAGACCCCCGCGGGGGGAAGGGGCTCGGCGTGGGGGCTGAACCCCCTCGCGGGGGGGTCGGGTCCCTTTGGGAGGTCGTTAGGGGGGGCGGGTGAGGACGTCGGTGATGGCGTCGATGTTGATGATGTTGTTGTTGGTGGCGGCGGTGGTAGTGGTGGGCTTGCGTTGCTCATGATGCTGCTGATGCTGTTGTTGTTGTTGCAGAGAGGTTGTTGTTGTTGCTGCAGCTGCTGCTGTTGTTGTTCTGGTGGTGGAGAGGGCGAGAGACACGGGGTGCCGCCTATCGGCTCAACGCGTCCGTCAACAAAAACAACAACAGCCCCCCACCCCCCCCCCCCTCGTCATACACTCTCTGTCTCTCTCTGCTGGGGCCTCCGTGAAGAGGAAGGGCCGTTGGCCGAAACGTCGCCTATTATATAAATATATTTCCTTTTAAGGCCACATATACCCGGCGTTTGTTGTTATTGACACGGAGCGTGTTATTGTTGTTGTTTGTGCACCACCACCAATGCAGCAGCAACAGCATCGTCCAAGGATTGGTTCAAGTGTCCATGACGATACTCATCAGCAGTACCATCATCATCAGCAGCACCATCATCAGCAATACCATCATCATCAGCAGTGCCATCATCATCAGCAGTGCCACCATCATCAGCAGTACCATTATCATCAGCAGTACCATTATCATCTGCAGTGCCATCATCATTAGCTGTACCATCATCATCAGTACCATCATCATCAGCTGTACCGTCATCAGTACCATCATCAGTACCATCATTATCAGTACCATAATCATCAGCTGTACCGTCATCAGTGCCATCATCAGTACCATCATTATCAGTACCATCATCATCAGCTGTACCGTCATCATCAGCTGTACCATCATCAGCATCAGCTGTACCATCATAATCATCAGTACCATCATCATCAGCTATACCATCATCATCATCATCAGTACCACCACCATCATTATCAGCTGTATCATCATCATCAGTACCACCACCATCATCATAAGCAGTACCATCATCAGCAGCAGTATAATCATCATCATCAGTACCATCATCATCAGCTGTACCATCATCATCAGTACCACCACCATCATCATCAGCAGCAGTACCACTACCACCATCATCATCAGCAGCAGTAACACCACCACCATCATCAGCAGCAGTACCACCACCACCATCAGCAGCAGTACCACCACCATCATCAGCAGTACCACCACCACCATCATCAGCAGTACCACCAACATCATCATCAGCAGTACCACCACCAACATCATCAGCAGCAGTACCACCACCACCACCATCATCAGCAGTACCACCACCACCATCAGCAGCAGCAGTACCACCACCACCATCATCATCAGCAGCAGTACCACCACCACCATCATCAGCCGCAGCAGTACCACCACCACCATCATCAGCCGCAGCAGTACCACCACCACCATCATCAGCACCACCACCATCATCAGCAGCAGCAGTACCACCACCATCATCAGCAGCAGCAGTACCACCACCATCAGCAGCAGTACCACCACCACCACCATCATCAGTACCACCACCACCACCATCATCAATACCACCACCACCATAATCAGCACCACCACCATCACCATCATCAGCTCCACCATCATCAGCTCCACCATCATCAGCACCACCATCATCAGCACCACCACCATCAGCACCACCACCACCATCATCAGCACCACCACCACCACCATCAGCACCATCATCAGCACCACCACCACCATCAGCACCACCATCATCAGTACCACCACCATCAGCACCACCATCATCACGGTGGATGTCTCCACGCCCCCACCTTCAGCCGCGCCCTCCGGAGCCTCCTGGGGCGCCCCCTGACGAGTCGCCCCTCCCCCCGGGCTGTCGGCGACCTTCTTCACCTTGCCCGACTCCATCTTCACCTTGCCCGACTCCATCTTCACCTTGCCCGACTCCATCTTCACCTTGCCCGACTCCATGGCCCGCAACCTCCTGCCGTGTTTGGTGCCCTGGAAGTGGGCGTCCGCCTGGTTCTGTGTGCGGAGACACGGGGGGGGGACGGGGAGACAGACGGGGGGGAGACACGGGGGGACAGAGAGACACGGGGGAGACAGAGAGACACGGGGAGACAGAGAGACACGGGGAGACAGGGAGACACGGGGAGACAGGGAGACATGGGGAGACAGAGAGACACGGGGGAGACAGAGAGACACGGGGAGACAGGAAGACACGGGGAGACAGAGAGACACGGGGGAGACAGAGAGACACGGGGAGACAGGAAGACACGGGGAGACAGAGAGACACGGGGGAGACAGAGAGACACGGGGAGACAGGGAGACACGGGGGAGACAGGGAGACACGGGGAGACAGAGAGACACGGGGAGACAGGGAGACACGGGGAGACAGGGAGACACGGGGGAGACAGAGAGACACGGGGGAGACAGAGAGACACGGGGAGACAGAGAGACACGGGGGAGACAGAGAGACACGGGGAGACAGAGAGTTCCGGGGGGACGGGGGACACAGACGGCGGGAGACACGGGGGGGACGGGGGAGACACGGGGAGACACGGGAGAGGAGGGAACACAGACAGGGAGAGACACGGGGAGACAGAGAGACACGGGGAGACAGGGAGACACGGGGGGGACGGGGGACACAGACGGCGGGAGACACGGGGGGGACGGGGAGACACGGGGAGACACGGGAGAGGAGGGAACACAGACAGGGAGAGACACGGGGAGACAGAGAGACACGGGGGGGGGGGACGGGGGACACAGACGGGGGGAGACACGGGAGAGGAGGGAACACAGACAGGGAGAGACACGGGGAGACAGAGAGACACGGGGAGACAGAGAGACACGGGGGGGACGGGGGACACAGACAGGGGGAGACACGGGGAGACAGAGAGACACGGGGAGACAGAGAGACACGGGGGGGACGGGGGACACAGACAGGGGGAGACACGGGGAGACAGAGAGACACGGGGGGGGGGGGGACGGGGAACACAGACAGGGGGAGACACGGGGAAACAGAGAGACACGGGGAGACACGGGGGGACACAGACGGGGAGAGACGCGGGGAGAGACACGGGGGGGGGGGGGGACACGTGGGGGACACGTAGAGACACACAAAGACGCGGTGAGACACGGGGGGGGACACAGACACGGCGAGACAATATCTCCGCGTGCACGCGCGCGGACCCAGAGAGTCGCCCGCTCGGCCCCATCTCTCTGCGGTACAGATTGGTGTGGGTAGGGGACAATGTGGGTGACCGCACCGCTTCAAAGGAAGAGGAGGCCAAGTACCCTCTGCAGGGCCCTCTCGAGGAGGCCAGAGGCTCCCACAGGGCTAGGGCAGCCCCACTGGAACGCACGGACAAAGATCCCCCGTGTAGCCTTCACAAGGCTGTTGGGTCAAGTGCCGTTAGCCGGGCACGTGACGGCGGGAGGTGGCCGACACCACGCCCGGCCGCCTTTGTCTCCCCAGTGGCGATGTTTACTACAAACCGCACCAGGTACTTATTTGCGGCTGAGTCTATCTGGGGGGGGGGTCAGCACCGGTTCAGATTAATCGTCACCGGCATTGTTGGCCGTGAGCGGGAATCGAATTCGGGTTCGCCCGGTTCGTAGCGCAGCAGCAGCGCTAACCGCTGCACCACCGCTCCACCCCCGCCCCCGACACACACAGAGGAACAGACCCCGCTATTCATGCACATTCCACGGCGCATGGCGATGCTGATGGGGCGCTGAGATGGCGAGGGGGTTTCACGTCAAGGCTCTCCGGGGTTCAGAATTAATGACGGCGATGATGACAGAGAGAGAGAGACGGTGAGAGGCATTGAGGGTGTGGGTACCCCCCTAGAGAGGGGTACCCCCCTAGAGAGGGGTACCCACACCCCTTACCCCCCCCGCCCCCTATGCCCTTATCCGCTAGTAGCAGCCCCATTGTGTAACCCCCTAACAATAGCCCCGAGCACCGCAGTAGGGTTACACTATTGGATAGCTGCGGGTCGGGCAGACTTTGGATATCGCGACTCGGATATCGCGACTCGGATATCGCGACTCGGATATCGCGACTAGAATATCGCGACTCGGATATCGCGACTCGGATATCGCGACTCGGATATCGCGACTCGGATATCGCGACTCGGATATCGCGACTCGGATATCGCGACTCGGATATCGCGACTCGGATATCGCGACTCGGATATCGCGACTCGGATATCGCGACTCGGATATCGCAACTCGGATATCGCGACTAGAATATCGCGACTCGGATATCGCGACTCGGATATCGCGACTCGGATATCGCGACTCGGATATCGCGACTCGGATATCGCGACTCGGATATCGCGACTCGGATATCGCGACTCGGATATCGCGACTCGGATATCGCGACTCAGATATCGCGACTCGGATATCGCGACTCGGATATCGCGACTCGGATATCGCGACTCGGATATCGCGACTCGGATATCGAGAATCGATATCGCGACTCGGATATCGCGACTCGGATATCGCGACTCGGATATCGCGACTCGGATATCGCGACTCGGATATCGCGACTCGGATATCGCGACTCGGATATCGCGACTCGGATATCGCGACTCGGATATCGCGACTCGGATATCGCGACTCGGATATCGCGACTTCGGATATCGCGACTCGGATATCGCGACTCGGATATCGCGACTCGGATATCGCGACTCGGATATCGCGACTCGGATATCGCGACTCGGATATCGCGACTCGGATATCGCGACTCGGATATCGCGACTCGGATATCGCGACTCGGATATCGCGACTCGGATATCGCGACTCAGATATCGCGACTCGGATATCGCGACTCGGATATCGCGACTCGGATATCGCGACTCGGATATCGCGACTCGGATATCGCGACTCGGATATCGCGACTCGGATATCGCGACTCGGATATCGCGACTCGGATATCGCGACTCGGATATCGCGACTCGGATATCGCGACTCGGATATCGCGACTCGGATATCGCGACTCGGATATCGCGACTCGGATATCGCGACTCGGATATCGCGACTCGGATATCGCGATGCGGATATCGCGACTCGGATATCGCGACTCGGATATCGCGACTCGGATATCGCGACTAGAATATCGCGACTCGGATATCGCGACGCGGATATCGCGACTCGGATATCGCGACTCGGGTATCGCGACTCGGATATCCGCGACTTCGGATATCTCTACTAGAATATCGCGACTCGGATATCGCGAACTCGGATATCGCGACTCGAATATCGCGACTCGGATATCGCGACTCGGATATCGCGACTCGGATATCGCGACTCGGATATCGCGACTCGGATATCGCGACTCGGATATCGCGACTCGGATATCGCGACTCGGATATCGCGACTCGGATATCGCGACTCGGATATCGCGACTCGGATATCGCGACTCGGATATCGCGACTCGATATCGCGACTCGGATATCGCGACTCGGATATCGCGACTCGGATATCGCGACTCGGATATCGCGACTCGGATATCGCGACTCGGATATCGCGACTCGGTATCGCGACTCGGATATCGCGACTCGGATATCGCGACTCGGATATCGCGACTCGGATATCGCGACTCGGATATCGCGACTCGGATATCGCGACTCGGATATCGCGACTCGGATATCGCGACCTCGGATATCGCGACTCGGATATCGCGACTCGGATATCGCGACTCGGATATCGCGACTCGGATATCGCGACTCGGATATCGCGACTCGGATATCGCGACTCGGATATCGCGACTCGGATATCGCGACTCGGATATCGCGACTCGGATATCGCGACTCGGATATCGCGACTCGGATATCGCGACTCGGATATCGCGACTCGGATATCGCGACTCGGATATCGCGACGCGAATATCGCGACTTCGGATATCGCGACTCGGATATCGCGACTCGGATATCGCGACTCGGATATCGCGACTAGAATATCGCGACTCGGGTATCGCGACTCGGATATCGCGACTCGGATATCGCGACTCGGATATCGCGACTCGGATATCGCGACTAGAATATCGCGACTCGGATATCGCGACTCGGATATCGCGACTCGGATATCGCGACTCGGATATCGCGACTCGGATATCGCGACTCGGATATCGCGACTCGGATATCGCGACTCGGATATCGCGATGGCGGATATCGCGACTCGGATATCGCGACTCGGATATCGCGACTCGGATATCGCGACTAGAATATCGCGACTCGGATATCGCGACTTCGGATATCGCGACTCGGATATCGCGACTCGGATATCGCGACTCGGATATCGCGACTCGGATATCGCGACTCGGATATCGCGACTCGGATATCGCGACTCGGATATCGCGACTCGGATATCGCGACTCGGATATCGCGACTCGGATATCGCGACTCGGATATCGCGACTCGGATATCGCGACTCGGATATCGCGACTCGGATATCGCGACTCGGATATCGCGACTCGGATATCGCGACTCGGATATCGCGACTCGGATATCGCGACTCGGATATCGCGACTCGGATATCGCGACTCGGATATCGCGACTCGGATATCGCGACTCGGATATCGCGACTCGGATATCGCGACTCGGATATCGCGACTCGGATATCGCGACTCGGATATCGCGACTCGGATATCGCGACTCGGATATCGCGACTCGGATATCGCGACTCGGATATCGCGACTCGGATATCGCGACTCGGATATCGCGACTCGGATATCGCGACTCGGATATCGCGACTCGGATATCGCGCTCGGATATCGGCGACTCGGATATCGCGACTCGGATATTCGCGGACTCGCGATATCGCGACTCCTCGGATATCGCGACTCGGATAGTCGCGACTCGATATCGCGACTCGGATATTCGCGACTCGGATATCGCGACTCGGATATCGCGACTCGGATATCGCGACTCGGATATCGAGACTCGGATATCGCGGATCTAGGATATCGCGTAATCGGATATCGGACTCGGATATCGCGACTCGGATATCGCGACTCG